CGGTTCAGTTGTGTCTTTTCAATCCTGTATTGCTTATTCAAGGTCAGTCGTTAGATACAGTCCAAGTTTTCGAATGAGTTTGATTCTAAAATTTTTAACCATTTTTCAATAATAGGTGTATCTGGATGTTTCGGTGAGCTATAACGAGGTCGGCACATCAACATTATTGAGTACTTAAATTCACTAATTTCGTGGTCTGCTAGAGCAATTAATATATTACAATTAATTAAGGTTTTTAATTGAGATAAAAAAGTCAATGGCACGAGCGGGATTCGAACCCACGATCTTCGGCTAGGTACGCCGCTGCTACCACTTGAGCTATCGTGACCTCGATCCACCCGGACACCAACCTCCCATCTCAACCGTATCTAGCCGAAGATCGTGGGTTCGAATCCCGCTCGTGCCATTGACTTTTTTATCTCAACTAAAAACCTTAATTAATTGTAATTATTGAATACAATAACGGGGTGAGGAGGCAGCATTGAGGAACTCCTGCAAAAGAGGGACGATCTCACCCAAAACTGTAATGTACCTGTCAGCAAGTTTAAGACTTAAAGATGAGGAAATGAGCGAGTTGTCCATGTGTACGCATAGCAAATCTAATTGTCAGACTTGATCGAACGCCTATTCAGTATCGAGGAAAACCTCCGAGCATACCTTATTTTCAAGGGACGATGGTATGATGTCCAAAACTCGATGGAGTTAGTTAAACATGGAATGGCGACACCTAAAGGTTTTAGAAGATATTTATTTTTCTAGTAAGCCACAGCAATTATTTTAGACAATCAATGATCAAAAAAAGATGCAAGTGATTAGTGTATTTTTTTTTTGCTTAATGTATAATTTATTTAGAAATCGTGAGATGCGATCTGGTGTGATGTAGGTTTCAGAAAAACATTTTTTTTATCGTGCCAACGTTTCGATCTTTATTGAGATCATCTTCAGGTATATATGGTATATACTAATGTGTAATTTCAAACCGATTTCCACTGTACACTTTTTTGGTTAGCCAGTAACTATCAGAATACTTAACACGTTTACATAATATTGGCAATGTGATAAGCAGAGAGGTTAAGAAGGGCGGATGTCTTCAGGTCATCGTCGATTATGGCGATGTTGGGGTTTATTAAGATGAGAAAATGTAGAGAGTGCTCAAGCTGTACGGTAAGGTCGGATCAAAAGGTTTGTGGAAGATTTGGAGCGGGATCAGATAAGCTTGTTGGCAAAATAAATATTGTGGTCGTTGTGGATAGTTAGGTTGGAGACTTAAGAAAGCTTAGAGAATTTGCCTGATGACTTTTATTTGGAAGGTTGGAGTTGGTGGATATTGGATGGATTGGCGGAACCCTTCACACCATATGTGTAAGAGGTCCCAGTAATGTCTTGTAAAGAGTTAGTTGAGTTGGACGGTCAAAACAGTTTTCAAACTTAAATAACTTTGCAGTAGTTCTAGTCTTCCGTGAAGTTGCTCCGTTAAGTCGAAATACAGCCCAAACTATCGGATGAGGTTTGCGTTAGTGTGTGAGGTTATAATAGATCGGTGGTAGAGTAAAGAAACGGAAGGTGAAGGTAATGTTACGCGATTCTGTGGTATTGAGTTTGTCTCTCAAATTTTTTAATCGTTGATCAATAACACGTAAGCCTTTCTACTGCAGTGTACCTTTCGGCCTTGCGGGATACAAGATGGGTAAGTGTGTAGATGGTTTTCCTTGAGTATTCAGAGCAAATCAAATTGTCATGATCGAACGCCTGTTCTGTATCGAGGATGACCTCCTCTGTATCTTCGCAAGAGAGATGCTGGTCAAAACACGATGACACTGTTGAACAGTGGAATGATGACATCTTACTCCAAATTGACGATCGGGAAATTCAATGAATCGAGAATTGGGAGTACACTTTCACAAAGAAGTTTTTAAGTAGGTTACCAAGATTTGTATATAAACTGATGGTATGGTACGGATTTGTAAGGTGTGGTTTCTTGGGTCTAGGGATTGAATTTGGAGGTTGAAGGTGATAGTAAGTATAGAGGAGGGTCTTTATGAAGGACAATCAAGAATATGCCTTTCTTTGTAAAGGATTATGCTTTATTGGGTTGGTGAAATTAATGCATGTTTTGAAGAAAAAAAAAATTCGCACGTGCTTGTTACGTAAAAGAAGTTAAATTCTCAAGTCTAAGTTATGGATTATAATAAATACTTTTAACTGTTATCTTTTATACGAAACATTTATATTGAATTTTATGAGTAAGGACCTGCTACATTAAAATGTGCAAACTAGATTTTGGTCAAATTTATTTGTAGAATTTATACTTGAGCGAAGTGCGGTCCAAATCACGGGTAACATGAATACAGTTTTGGAGGAAGGAAGCACTAGCAAATGCACAGTGCAACGATGGTTTCAGAGATTTTGTCTTCTTCACTTAAACACTCCGTTGTGGACGACAACCAACTCAAAACGTTGATTGAAGAAACTTCACGTAAGACAATATGGAACATTGCGGAAGACCTTATTGTTGACCGCTCAACCGTTTTTTCGCAAGCAACTGGAGAAAATTGATAAAGTAAAGAAGCTTGACAAGTGGGTCGATTAACCGAAGCCCAGTCTCTTCTGTTGCACTACCAAAACGATCCATTTCTCGATTGAATCATTAGAAGTGGATTCTGTACGATAACAGGAGGGGTAGAGGTCAGTGGTTGGACCAAGATGAAGCTCCAAAACTCTTCCCGAAACCATAATTGCGGCCACGAAAGGTTATGGTGACTGCTTGGAGGTGTACTCCTGGGATGTTCACTGTAATTTCCTGAATTACGGTGAAACTATCACAGAAGGGAAATATTTCAAAGAAATCGACAAAATGCACGGAAAACTGCAATGTCATGGTCTAGCATTAGTAAACGTAAGGGCAGCATTCTTCACGATAAAGCCAGCCCACATGTCGCAGTGCCAACCCTGCGGAAACTTAACGACTTATTAAATTCACTAATTTCGTGGTCCGCTTGACCAATTAATACATTACAATTAAGGTTTTTAGTTGAGATGAAAAATAGTCAAGACATTTGAAAAATGGCAAAAAGGAGGGAAAACTCATAAGGTGGGGTTGAGATAGGAAGTTGATGTCCGAGTGTCACGATAGCTCAAGTGGTAGAGCAGCGGCGTATCTAGCCGAATATCGTGGGTTCGAATCCCGCTCGTGCCATTGACTTTTTTTCATCTCAACTAAAAACCTTAACGACTTATATGAAACCTTACCGCACTCGACCTGTCGCCTACAGTCTTCCATTTTTTAAAGCATTTTATTCACTTTTATAGAATTTTTAGAGAAGCGGTGAAGCCGAAAACGCTTTCCAATATTGTGCATCGAAATAAAAATTTTTAGGTCAGCGGAAAAAAAGCGCTTATCACACGTTAGCAAAGATGGATTGCTTGTGATGGAAAATATTTCGAATAAATTTTCTTTATTGTATAAAAAAAGTTTTGACTGCCTTTTCAAAACCTGTATTATTTTCGCACCAGCACAATACTTAAGCAAAAAAATTTTAAATTTATGTATGGGTTTTGATCGAAAAAAAATTAAATGGATCGTCTGCGAAATATATCTATCGGAAGGTGGGAAGGTTCTAGGATCTTTGGTATTGTAATTATTGGATTTTTCAAGAGTAAAATTTAATATGTTCTTTTAAAAAATGAATTGAAATGTAGATTAGAAACGTGAAGTTAAATACTCCGATAGGGAGAAAATTATTTTAAAAATAATAAATATGTATTATCCTCTTATTTGTGAGATTTATTACAGCAAAAAAATGCGTGAGCTTACAGGGTCGAATGAAATAATTTTTCTTACAAATATTCTTTCTATTTTTATGTTCATTGCTGTAAGTAATTTTTATTTAGAAATCGTGAGATGCGGTCTGGTGTGATGTAGGTTTCAGAAAAACATTTTCTTTCTCTTGCCAACGTTTCGATCTTTATTGAGATCATCTTCAGGGCTCAAAGTGACTTTTGTGTAATTGTGCCATTCTTGCGTGTCGTGTCGAGAGTGCCCAAGTAAGTAATGCTAATTGTTTAAAGGCAAGCTTTTAAAATTATAATTTTTTTACTCATGTCTAATGTTTAATTAGGCTTTTAAAAAATTATTTCTACAGTATGTTTTATCTGAAATGTTGCTTTGTCAGGGATAATATACAAGATAAAAGAACAATTCTCATAGTGGTCACATCAGACGGATACGTAAAGAGAAAGCAATACAGACGACGGAAAAACCGATTTATCCAACACGATGAATTTGATGAAATCGTGTTTGTGATTTTTTTTAACCAAAAACACTTTGACTGTTTTTAATCGGATTTCGTATTATATTTATCCGTAATAATAAAAAAAAAAGATCACACCGATATAACTGATGAATTCGCAAAACGGTCAGATGGCGGAAATTAATATTGTAAGTGATGAAAAAGGAATTAGGTACTTAACTTACTTTACTTACAATTAATGATGTAAAATTTTATTCTTTACGTTTCAGTAATTTTGTCTTAAGTTAGTAGCGTTGTAAAATAAACATAACTTTCGAAAGTCATCGTTAAATTTTTTTCTTGGGTTTTTAAAGTTTTTAGATTCCAATTAACTGTTTATTATGTAAATCAACATGAAATTATATTATATAAAATTTTTATAACAATCATAGCTGTTAGATAGTACAAGTGTAAAATAATACTTTAAATGATTTAGTAATCATCTGGTAAGATCGTTTGGGTAACATGCAAAGCACATTTAACGGCGGTAAATGGGAAGGAAGAGGTATAGTTTGAAAGCCGAATTATACAGAGTAGGGCCGAAGTGGTGTAATGCTAAAACATTAAAGGCTTTCGCTGATTCTAATCCCCAATAACGAATTCAACTGGCTGCGAGAAGGTGAACAGCCGGGGGCGTCGGAGTTCAATAAAGGAGCTCAATAGGTTTATACCAATATTGGTCGGATTCGGTTTGAATGCGAGATGGCTTACCTGTAAATTGGCGAGGGGTGGCCTTCTTTGTACCAGATGACCAGGTGCACTCTGTCAGCCAAAGCGGGCGGCTTGATGTCGCAGGGCAACTTGGCGACCCCGGTCGACACCGCCTCGGCGTATGTCACAGTAACTGAAAACAGAAAAAGGAGATTGTTAAAAAGGAATATTTACCGTACAGCAAAATAGAAGTTTCTACCTGTAAAATGTGTGAAGAGTTGAAACTACAAAAAATAATAATACTAAAATAATAGTACTAAAGCATTGAGGATGAAACTGGTTGTTAAAATTTTATCACTTCCCTCCACCCCCTAAAAAATGTAAATATAATAATATGCAACAGTTCATCTATGATCCGCATTATATTCACAAACTGGAGGAGCTAGTATTGGGTTATAAGTAAATCATACGGGAATTTTTTTTACAGTGGTTTAAAATGATAAGGCCAAACTTTCACATGGATCGAAAAGAAAAGGGATCGAAAAAAAAACAAATGAAAGATCTGGAGCAAGCTATATTATGTGCAAAACCAAAATTATAGAAAATGATTTATAACTTTTATGTAAAATGATATTGGGATGACAAATTAGTGTCACGCGTGAAGTCTAAATCACGATAGCTGAAGTGGTTAGTGTGCTGGCTTATTGAACCAAAGTCCTATTAGCGGAAGGTCTTGGGTTCGAATCCCTCTAGTTACACTAACTTTTCATCTCAACCACGCTGTACATAAAAATTATAAATCAATTTAAATAATTATTTTAATTAATTTTTTTTATGTAAGGTTTTGGTTGAAAAAAAAGTTAGTGTGACGAGCGGGATTCGAACCCAAGGCCTTCGTCTAAATAAGCCGCTACTCTAACCACTTCAGCTATCGTGACTTCGATCAACGCGGACACCAACTTCTAACCTTAACCCCACCTGTTGAATTTTCCATCCTTTTTTTCATTAATTTTTTTCAATTAATTGATCAAGCGGACCACAAAAACTAGTGAATTACAGTGAAAATTATCGGAAGGAAACGAATATCCCCCTTTTGATGTATTTTGTGANTTCCCAACCACATAAAAATTATAAATCAATTTAAATAATTATTTTAATTAATTAATATTTTCATGTAAGGTTTTGGTTGAAAGAAAAAAGTTAGTGTGACGAGCGGGATTCGAACCCAAGACATCATCCCCATGCTAAATCAGTCGCTGCTCGAACCACTTGAGCTATCGTGACTTCGATCAACTCGGACACCAACTCCCCATCTCAACCTACAACCGTTCGAATTTTCCCTCTATTTGCGATTTTCAACTGTCGTGTAATCAAGATTCGATTCTCGGCGACATAGAAGTGGCCACGGGGAGCTGTTAGTGAATTTACACTTCGTTTTCCTTATTAAATTCATTATATTTAGTGGTCTATTGACCAAAGTACTTCTTTTAATTAATTAATATTTTTATATAATGTTTTAGTTGAAATAAAATTGTTAGCGTCCCGAGTGTCCTCCCCGGGAATCGCGCTCGAGACACTAACTTTTTTGTTTCAATCAAAACCTTACATAAAAAGAAAAATTAATTAAAAGAAGTAATTTGGTCAATAGACGCCTAAATATAATGAATTTATCAAAAAATTATTTTCTTTAAACAGAACGAACATATAGATTAATATAACAATTACTCAAGTACTTGCACATCGCTAACAGGTCCCCGTAGGCACTTCATGAGTATGGAATCCGATTATACAATACTTGAATATATGAAGAAAAAAAGGGACAATTTGAAAAAGTTCGTAAGTTTAGATGATGAATTGGTGTCCCGGGGGATCGAAGTAAAGATAGCTCAAGTGGTTAGAGCAGCGTGTACTTAGCCGATGGTCGTTTGGATCAAGTCACATTCGTGACACTAATTTTTCATCTCAGACAAAATTTACAAAAAAGTTGTAAATCAATTTAAATAATTATTATGGGCAAACCACGTTTATTATAATAACAATAACTCGAAAACGGTTGAGGAATCTGGCAAAGTGGAAGGTGACCAAGGTCATTAAAATTTCCTGTTGATCCCACTCCAGAACAAGTTCCTGGTTCCACAGCTCAATTTGACATTTTCGGAAAAAGTGCAAAAATTAACATCTTCACAATTTGAGAATTTACCGACAAATGACAGAAGCTAGGAAATCACTTAGAAAAGCCTCCTGTTCAGCGTAAAATTTTCTAAAAATGAGATCTAGAGCACGTCTGTGACTTTAAAGGCTGAAGAAATATGCATTTCATAAGAAATCGTTTAAAACAGCATTTAATCTACATATCATTATTTAAAGATTGAAATTAATATAATTATATATTAGGCTTTGTTTATTTATTAAGAAATTCATTCATCAAATGTTAAATGAATAAAATACTCCTAAAAGGCAGTGAAAACAGTAAATTGAGGTCCTCTTAATAAAATGGCAATTAAGATGTACCCGAGAAACATAAACTAAAAAACACTTTAATGAAATTGATAGTGCCTTTAATGAAGTCTAGGTTCCTTATTAGCTTTCTCTTTAGCAATTAAGATTTTTTAAGTTGGCATATTGATCTGAGCACTCCTCACAGCCGAGTGGACTTTCCAAGTAAGGTTGGAATCGTAGATTGTTGAGAAGGCTGGGAAAAATGCATTTTCAAAGTTGCCCATTGTTTCGTGAAAAAACCGGATAGTTGGTTTTTTATCATGGCCAATGTAGACCCAAATAAAATACTCAGAGCATATTAGAGAAGTTTGATTTTCAACCTGAAACGCTATCAATCCTTGTGTCATAGAAACTCATAAAACAGGTTAAAATGACAACAATTCTCATCACAAATCTATAAAACGTCTAAAGGTGACAGCTTAAATAGTTAAAAATAGAGGATCACAGTAGTCTAGTGTTGGCGTTCGATACGTACTTCCACGCTAGCAGTTCTGGGTTCGAATCGAAGTTATTCCGGTGTTTTGATCAATTTATTAATTAACCATTATAATTAAATAATTTTTATAAAAACTAAGGAATTTTTGATATGGTTTAATTTGGTTTATATTAAAATAAGAATGTTGTTATTAATTACAAAATTACATACACTTACTTCGAAAAAAACTACAAAAAATATGAATGTCCTGCTCAATACTCGAAGAAAATAGTGTAATTTTATGAGCAAAACCATGAAATAAATTGTTTGTTAAATTTTATGAGCAAAACCATGAAATAAATTGTTATTTAAATTTTATGAGTAAAACCATGAAATAAATTGTTAGTTAAATTTTATGAGCAAAATCATGAAATAAATTGTAGTTAAATTTTATGAGAAAAACCATGAAATAAATTGTTAGTTAAATTTATGAGTAAAACCATGAAATAAATTGTTAGTTATATTTTATGAGCAAAAGCATGAAATAAATTGTCAGTTAAATTTTATGAGCAAAACCATAAAGTAAATTGTTAGTTAATTTTTATGAGTAAAACCGTGTAATAAATTGTTAGTTAAATTAATTATATCAAAAATGGTATTCCGGTGTTTTGATCAATTTTCTACCAAACTATTAAAATTAATTATTTTAAATCAAAACTAATGAATATTTGAACGCGGTTAATTTAGTTTATATTAAAATAAGTATGTTGTAATTAATATAACGACAATAATGTATGCAGTTTGAACAAAAATATGAGTATCCGGTTCTTTTGTCTTTGACTGTGCTCGATGCTACACGACGAAAATCTGGACAGTGGGGATTGCAATGTGTAGAGGGCAGATGTGCACGTAGGTAATACAATGTTATGGAAAATTGGCTTTGGATTTGCGTCGGGTAGCATCGGGTAGTGTTGCATCGGGTAAGTGTGTTCCCGGCTTAAATCAGCTTTTTTCGTCCTATTCTCAATTAGACTTCCGCGTTTCGGACCCAGAACCGCTAGTGTGTCAAATACAAGCACGGCAGTCACCTCCGTTTGGTACGTTTTAAACAAGAGCAACCAATTAAATGTAAGCTGATTAAAAATAATGACCCTATATTCTGGCCAAATCGTGAAAACCCATTTCAACATTTTAATTACCTCACTATTGCAAACCACTAGTGAACAGAATAAGGGATAACGCAATTGTGTACTCCGTTGTACTTGAGCTCTTTCGATCAAAACCTTTCGAAGTAAGCTGTAACAAGCAGGTCAGTTAAGAATTCCGACCGAGAAGGCGAAAGTTTTCAAGTGCACTCCATCTCCTTCTTTTATTCCAAAGAATATTTTTCTCCAGATTCACAAGTGGATATATTGCTGAACAGGGTGCGCGGCAGCGCGAATGTTCCCGGCACATCTCATTTCCCGACTCTCCAATGGATGTTGCTTAAAGTTTTATAATTTAAATGTACGCCTTTAAAAATATATACCGTGTATGAATGAGTTTTATTTGACTTTTTATTAGAAATATTGGCAAATATATGCTCACCGCAGCTACATTGGACAGAAGTGTGTTAAAATTATTTTTTTCACTTATGGTAAAAAATGAATGTCAAGGAAAGAAATAGAAATATATCTAAATTGTATACTTGATTAAAACGTCTGAAAATAATTCTGATTTGAGGGTAAATCGTTGTCATTATCCTTTGGGAGATCTACTGGGGGAGTTCCTCTTGTCAAGGAACGAAAAATGTACAAGTATTTCAACTGAAAAGCAACCTAGCCGTAAAAGCTAATGGAAGATTTTATCGTCTTAAATTTTTCAGCAAGCATAAAGTGTGTCGGCACCTGGTTCCTTTTTCGCACTCCATCGAAGACGAACAGATGCCGATGATTCAGTGAACAACTCCGATTCGGACAATTTATTGCAAAATAATTACACGATGAAGTGAACCGATGTGCGATTAAATTCAATGTTAAGGTTAAGTTTTTTATATTCAACAATTAGTATTGGAATAAAACGTAATTAAATGTTTTTTTTTATCAACATGATTAATTTTCAAACAGGATGAACGGAGAAATCGTTAAGGGAAAATGAGCAGCTTTATCATAAAGTTGCCAGGGGTTTACATGTAGAATGAATCAGTTGTTAAACATATTATGTGGAAATTTTGTCATATTGGACATTTTCTGAGTAAATGGAATATATATATTTTTTTTAAAGAAAGACAAAAATAATTTTAAAAAATTAAGATTATATGGTCTTGGAAAATTAAGCCCGTACGGATTTTCAATTTTACTCAATTTCATCCATCATGTGTTGTCAAACAACGTTTATTAATATTACACTC